TTTTATCTATTAAGAAGTTCATGCGTTTTATCTTTCTTTGTTTGAAGATACACTGTTACTTGATTTTCCAATATTAATCCCTTTTGGTCATGGAATGTAATTTTTATGTGTTGATGTATTTCTGTTGCTATAGAAGAATTCTACACAGATTCTTATGATGAATAAAGATAGGGATGCTGCTGCTACCTTACAGCTGTGATAACTCTCAAATGCAATAATGCATATGAAGTAATAGTGTCATGTCTGACATGAATTGTGTTGGCAATAAGAATCTTTATTATCATCACCTCATGTAAAGTAATAAGAAACAGTTGCATGAAATAAATTGATCCACTTCATACAATAGCTATATTACAGTCATGGGTGAAAAAAAGAAAAGTAGTTATAATAGTGGCTAAAGTTCATTGTTTTCTCCAGTTATAAATAGAGATTGAAACTGGGATTTGAACACAAGTCATCTTGCTCCAGGCCCCAGTTTGTTACCATCATTTTGTGTGCTATGCCCTGTGGGTTTTTAGAGGCAATGATGCATTTTCCTTTGCTCTGTTAGACAGGGATATCAGAAGTAACTTTTGATCAGGTACAGTTCAAATGAGGATTTGCTGCAATAGTTTTACAGTATGATATGAAGTAGGCTTCCCTAGTGTCATAGTTTCCAAGATTTTTATTTTACTGTAATCTATAGCAAAAATAAAATTTTCATTGCAACTCAGTAAGTATTCTAATGAAACACACTGCATTTAAAAACCAAAATATCCTGTTAGTCTAATGTGTTAATAGTATTATCCTGTGAGTCAAATTATTATCCTGTGAGTCAAATGATTTTATTTTTAAAAAATTCTTGTTATAATCAACCAAACTGCTTCACAATTCATTAATGAGCTATTTTGCATTTTGAAAAGTGCTTCACTAGAGAATATGCTAGGTCTCTTCCAACCCTGAGTCAAATCCACCTCACAACGTCTTTCATAAGACAGCTTCAACCATATAACCTTGAACTTGTTACCCTGCTTATTTCTAAAAGTAGAATGTACACAATTTATATTAGGCCCACCCAAAGCTTGTGTTAACCTTGATTTTTTTTTCTTACTTTCTTTACTTCACTTATAATTTATGGGTTTTTTGCTCAATTTGTAAAATCTCTGTTTTAGGCAGTGTACAGGTACTAAGGGTAAGAAACTTCCAGACATGCACCCTATGGCATATTGGGAAGAAGAGTTAATCTGAAGGCATGCCAAAAGACATTTCCAAATTCTGCTAAGTTCTGCTGATAAGATGTAACACTGCATGTAACAGTGGGACCTGATGAATGTGGAGTGTTATTTGCACAAGTAACTCAAGGTGAGCCTTGAAAGGTGAACAGGACAGAACCAGGCAGTAGACAGTGCTGTGAGGCCAGGCATATGTTGGATTTATCACAGGCTTTTGAGCCTGGAGGCCATGTGAACAACTAGTTGGAGAAGAAAGGAAATCTTCAAGACAAGGCTGGAAAGATAAATAGGGCCAGGCCAAATAGATTGCTGTAGGCCAGGGAAAGGAGGTGAAGAGGTTTTGGAGGTTGGACAGTATGGTAAAACTAAGGTTAAAAAAAATAACTGCAGCAGAGTGGAGAACTGATTAGAGGTTCAAGATAAGATATGAGAGGGGAGGGAGGGAGAAAGGGCGGGAAGGAAGGAGATAGAGAGAGAGATAGATGCCATTGCAGTGGTTCGTCAGTGGTCTTCTGTTGGTCATTTTTCTTTCTTACTGAGTACACTTCGCGATATATTTCACAGGGACCATGACCAAACTTGCTAATTTTAGAGCTATCAAGTAAGAAATGAGCCATGGTATGGCATTCAAAGGAAAAGTTACAGAAATACAACTCTTAGCTTATGTGATAAATTGTCGAGGAGCAAGGGAGTTGCTCTTTTATTTTAAAAAGTCGGATTCTGATACGAACCTCAATATTGTAGATGGCACCAAATTGTATATGCGAACATATTTTTATTGAGTATAGTCCTTGCAAAGAAAGTACTCACCTCGTCTCCTTCTGGGTGTTCAGAATCTGAGACAGAGAGACTCAGAAATAGGAATTTTACAATCAAATTTGCCTCCGTGGTTGCAAAACTTGATATTTATACTGGCCAAGGAAAACGTGTCGGCTCTAACCTCATCCTCTTCTTAAATTACTAATCCCCTGCACAGTTGGGAACCCTGTTGTTAACTTGTCACGACTGGCATCTTTATCACTTTGTCCTCTGAATGCAAATAGCTTCACCCACATCTCAGTAAAATGTTTGCTCATTTAGGCTGAATTGAACACAAACACCGTCCCCCTTGGAGTTTAGTAAGTAATGGGGGAGGAGCCCCTGGGTCTGCCTGGCACCTGGGAGCTTGCATTGATCAACCACAGAGAGGATATCAGATCCACCGGGTATAACCCAATCTGAGTAGAGAGTAGGTTGTTTCTGTTGCTATCTAGCTGTGTTATCGTTAGCACTCTTTCTTCCTCCCCCCTCCCTTCCCCCCCAACCCTCCCCCTTCC